TTTTTCTTTTTTTTTTTTTTTTGGGGGGTGGGGGGTGTTGGGGGGTTGAAGTTGGGGAGAGATGACAACTTCAGATCATCCTCTTTTTTCGTTACACGAATCTTCTAGAACCTTGGGAATCACATTATTCATGGAATTTGTTGTCCCCTCGAGGACATTACGTTTCTCGATTTCCCTACATAGTCAGCCCATGGGATATACTTTATCTTTTTATGATTATGTTTGTAAGTTGAATCAAGCTGAAATTTATTAGGGTGCTTCTTAGAAGATTTCACGCTCAAATTTAGCCTGAGTGTTTCATCAGATTCCATAAGCTTAGTTAAGCTAGTTAAGTGAAAAATATTGAAAGGCACCAAAGAGGTGCTGCCCTGTACAATTGCCAATATAGAATTAAGAACACCTGGTCAGTATTCGTGATTTATCTGCATACTAGCCTCATAATCCCAAAAACTCCTAAATGCCACAAAAAAAATAGATTGCTGAGAAGTCAGTTTGATTCTTTCTAGACTCATTCATGATCCTCCTGCATATCCCCAAATTCTTGAAGCCAGAAGCACCAGCAGGAGCTCCGCATATTATGACAAATGACATGGGTTGTACTCATGAGTTGCTGGTCTGGCTCTACTTTCTGACCTATAAGAGTATTTGGTTAGATCTCTACTTCCATTTCCTCAATAGATTGTGTAATAATTTTGTAAAGGAGGGTGGTGGTTGCAGATAGGGGTAGGGTGTTGCGTACGAATAAGTTCACTGTAAATGTATGCAACAAACATGTCAGCTTATGGAAGATGTAATATGGAAACCTACCGACCGGCTTGTGGGCCTACTAACCAGGCACTTTGAGCTATCAGCTTAGCTAGAGCTGGATGCTGACTAACTCAAGCTAGTCCAAAACGAGGTAATATGAGGAGTTCATGAATAATCCAGCTCCATGTGAAAGCGCTACAACTTACTTTACCAGTATCTAGTTCTTCCCTTTCCATTGAACTTATAAGTAGACATGCTGTTTGCTCTATACTTGATTATGTTACTGCAAGCTAGTAATTTTATGTTTTATATAAATTGTTCTAAACTTAAGGGGATGATTTTGACTCTTTATTTTCCTTTTACAAGTATGTAGTTATCCCGTACAGTTAACGTAGTGATTTATCTATATTGGCTCTCCAAAATTGCACGGATCGGATCAGATTGAGCACATTTTGGATTTGGATTTCGGATTCTAGAAAATGCAATCCGAATCCGATCCGAAATATATCGGATCGGATCGGATTTTAAAGTTTGGATCGGTTCAAATTCGGATCGTATTATTATGCCTCAAAGTTGCAAACTAATATGTATATTTTCCTTGTAAAAGAGGCAATATGTTAAGAAAAATTCATGTTTATGCAATTATGAGAGTACTATGGTGCCAATATAGTTAAATCCAGCAATTGTAAAGGTAATAACTTGGAGGAAGATGTAAAGGAAGTTCTGACTATCCGAAATTAAAGTGTAGTATTTATACATTGCCTAATAATTTCGGATTTCGGATCGGATCGGATTAAATTAAAATATACCAATCCGAATCCGATCCGAAATCCGAAATTGAATGGATCAGTTCGGATTTCGGATATCCGATTCGAATGAACAGCCCTACTCCAAATAGATAATACTAGTAGAAATGTTAAAGCAATAAGAAAAGCTAAAGTCAAATTCGCGGTGATTTTTGTCTAAAACTAGTCACATGTCTATCAAATGTTTGTATAACTGTATGAAGATATCATGCCAAAAGGATTTTTTTTAAAAAGTTAATTAGAAGGGTTTCTCATTGGTGCAGTTATTAGAACAGAATTGAGAAAAATGCTTGGACTAAATATCTACTAGAATACTTGGTCTGAGTTAAAGGGGTTTTCGCATCCTCTGTGTGTGAAACAGTATCGTCACCTACAACAGCTTTAAACTGGGCACCCATGTTTTTTTAACTTCTAGAATTTTGTACCTCATCTTCGCTAACTCCCTCTTTATGATGACTTCTTGCTTCTGCTCTTCTGTATCTGTCCTCTCTCTCATCAATAAAATCTGTTTTTTTAATTAAAAAAAGGAATGAGGGAAGCATAAAACTTCATCGGTCATTGCCTGTAAGTCAAATAAGTGAGAAACTAAGACAGAAAGTGAAGAAAGAACCTAAAAAAATACCAAAATGATCCCTTAAGTATAGGGCTAGGTTTATCTTGGTCCATAATACGTCATCCTGAACATTAATAGCCCTTAAAAGTTACAAAATTGGTTCATTTTGGTCCCAGCTACATTAAACCTAAGAGAATAATGGTCCACGGCCAAAATAACGTACAAAGTGTAGCCTACTAACGGAAAAAATCCAAGTCTCGACTTGGCAAGAATGACATATTCTACTACCTCTGAAAAGAGAGTTCAGTAGATAATAGCGTAGGCTTCAACAGCCTTGCCTTGTGAAGGTCTAATCCTCAAAGCATGCTCTTCCCTGTATGGCTGTATATTTATCGACTTTCTTAGCCCAACGATTTCTCTTCCCTGAAATGCCAAAGTTATTGCCTTTTCAGGTGGTTGTTGTGGTTTACTTCTGAATCTTTTTTTTGTTTGATCCAACATATAGCACATGTAATCTCGAAATGGACTTAGGATGAGAGATGATGTAATCACTGGTTTTCAGGGGACTGTTTGGGGTGGGCTGTTGGGGTGCTGTTCAGGTGTGTTGTTCTATGGGGGAATGTAGTCAGTTCTTTTGGTCATGTCTTTTTATGTAGTCAGTTCCTTTGGTCATTTCTTTTTATGTAGTCAGTTCTTTTGCTCATGTCCCCCTTTTTTTTCCCTTTCTTTTCTCATTCGTGCATGTGGGTGGTTCTCTCTTTTCTCCAACTTTTTTCTGAATGAAAATTTATGATGATATCATCAAGCTTTTTCAAGTTAATTTGACTTTTACTGTAGATTGTTGAAGTAAGAGAGACGCTTCTGCAGCAGTTGCAAAGTAAGAAAACCCCACAGCCAGAGGCATCTAAGGAGTCGGAGACTGTTGATGCATCTGAGAAGGATGTCAAGGTCAGTGGACAGCAGCAAGGTTCTGAAAGTAAATTGGAGGAGAAAAATATTTCAGCGGAGACTGCAAATGCTTCTCAAGATAAAGACAGTTTGCACGGTGAGAAACCTCAACAGCAGTTAGAAGATGAAAAGACCAAGACTACAACTTCATTTGCTGACAAGGACGAGGAGGACGTTTCTTTCAGTGATCTTGAGGATGATGATACCGATCTATCAGATAGACTGCAAGGAAGCAAGCCTACACATAGAAAGAGAGTTTCCTCATCTAGTGAATCCCATGAATGGATTCAACTAAATGAGAACTCTAAAGCTCAGGGTAGTCAGCAGAAGGCTGGCCAATCAATTCTCCGGGATAAAGATTCCGAAGGTGAGGAATCGAATGACTGGCTCACCGTTGATGACATTGATTCAGATAGTTTGGCCACCAATTGATTCCTCTGAAATCTGTAAATGTTTCTTTTTAGTTCTCTTTTATAA